TGATGGCACACACCTGTAATCCCAGTACTCAGAACACTGAGACAGGAGAATCCTGAGTTTAAAGACAGCCTGGGCTACATTGTGAGACCCTATCACAAAGGAATAAAGTCAAGGTCAGAAGATTGTATTTATTAAGTTCTGCGTGTAAGAAAACAAACTAAATGAAGATAATAGGGAAGCAACCAATTAAGAAATGAAATCTGGAACTGATGAGGTGGCTCAGCAGTAAAGGTGTTTCTCACCAAGCCTAACAACTTGAATTCAGTTCTTGGCATGCACATGGTAGAAAGAGAACTGACTCCCGCAGATCATCCTCAGACCTCCACACGTGCATACACACGAGTAAATATAGTAAAAATAATTATTAAAAGAGAGGAAACCCAATATGGAGGAAGGAAAATTATTGTGAGAACATCATCAGTTAGGCAGTAAGAGGAAACATTCTAGAGTGAGGGATATACCCTCACTTTGAAGAAAAGGCTAAGAAAAGAACACAGAATTAATGGGATCTGGTCCAGACACGTATACGCCTATTTCCATTCATATGTTAGAGTCTAACCCTTAGTGTCACTGCATTGAAGTCAGAGGAGGAGGGACCGGTGCAGAGATGATCTGGTCATGTATGGGATTGATGGGCCTTCCTGAACATAGAGGAAACAAGAAAACAGCACCTCAGAAGAACAGGTCCTCACCTGATCCACTGGCACCATGATCTCCAATCTCCAGGATCAAAAACTGTGAGAAATGAATTTCTGGAGTTTTTAAAAGGACTGGTCTGTGGTAATTTGTTATTGCAGTCTAAATGACCTAAGATAAATGAAGACAAAAAGAAAATTTGAAATAATAAGAATTGAGGAAGCCACCAAGTGGTGGTGGCACACACCTTTAATCTCAGCACTTGAGAGGCAGAGACAGGTAGATCTCTGTGAATTCGAGGCCAGCCTGGTCTACAGAGTGAGTTTCAGGACAAGGACAGGCTCCAAAGCTACAGAGAAACCTTGTCTTGAAAAAGAAAAAAAAAATTGAGGAAGCCTCTAACATATGAACATATGTTAGAAAAAGGGAGGATTATGCCAATTATAAGGAACAAAGTGAGTGAATAATGGCTGGGGCTGTACAGATTTCACTATGAATGCATGGGACAGCGTGAAAGTGAAATACAAAAAAAAAAAAGAGAAAAAAGAAGGAAAGAAAGAAGGAAGAAAAAGGAGGGAGAGGGCTTTCAGAAAACACCCTGTGCTTGCTGGCAGGGTGGCAAAGCACAAGGTGAAGCAGTCAACCTAGTTTTCAGGCCGTCTCTCCCGCCTCAGAGCCTAGGCACAGGGGAGCTGACCATGAGAGTGAATGTCTGGCCCAACTAGGCCAACGAGAGTGGAGGAAGCAGTCAAGACGCTGACTGGCTTCTCAGTCCTCCCACTAAGCGCTAGCCCTTCTGCTCTTACTTGCCCAGAGATGGACGGTTCCTCCTGCCTTACTCAGACCTCTGCAGTAAAACTGCCTCAAAGAAACAAGCAATCAAGCCAAGATAACTGACCACCCTCTGCTGCTGACTGTGTTGTTCCTGCAGAGTGTGTGTATGTTCAGATGGAGTTACTTGAGGTTCTATGGCCATAGCCAGGAAAATGCAAACCCAATCACAAAGAGATTCCACTTTCCACCCTAGGGTGGCAATTAAAAACAAATAAACAAAAAGAATTAGCCTCCGGTGTTGGTTAAGATGTAGGTGACCTGGAACCACTGTGCCCTTCTGGTTGGAAAGATGTCAAATTGTTCAGCTACTATAGGAACAATATGATGGTATCTCAAAAACTAACACAGAAGCCAGGGACTCTACAAACGTATATTCACAACTGTGTTGTTTGTAATAGCCAAAAACTGATCCAAGCATTCATCAAAGAATTAATAAACAAACAGCATGTGATAGATATAAGAGATGGAAAGTTATTCAACTTAAAAAGGTAGGAAATTCTGGCATGTGCTTTGGAGACAATATAGAAGATGAATTAAGCTCATTATGAAACATTGTATGATTCCTTCTCTATCACGTTCTCAATCAAATTCGTAGAGACAAAGTGCGATGGTGTTTGACAGAGCCTGGGCTACAGGGAAAAAGGAGAGTTACTAAGTAATATTACTGATTTTCTGTTTTACAAAATTTTAAAAAGACAGGCTATGGTGGTGCACACCTTTAATCCCAGCACTTGGGAGGCAGAGGCAGGTGGATCTCTGTGAGTTTGAGGCCAGCCTGGTCTACAGAGTGAGTTCCAGGACAGCCAGAGCTACACAGAGAAACCTTGTCTTGAAAAATAAATAAAATAAGAATAAAAAAAGAATTCAGGAGTGGATGGTAAGAAAATAGCACAACAATGTGACTGTACTTAACACTATGGAACTGCATGCTTAAAAGTGAATAAAATGGGACATTTTGTGTTAAGAATATTCTTTACAATAAAGAAATCTTTGTTCCCCCAGGCAGTGGCAGAAACCAAGCTAACATTTCCTCATGCCACTAAAGAACACAATGACACTTCAACTTCTTTTTATAACCACACACAAAAGCAAAGTCTGCATCACATAAAGCCCTGACTATGTGCTGTTATCTCTTTTTCACAAGGAATTAACTAAATTCACAAATGATTGTACTGAGTCAGGTCATAAGAAGCAGTGGCAGGACCCAGGCAGACCATTCTGCCTCCAAAACCTGCGTTCTTGGCGCTGTACGCCAGTCCTTTCTTTGCCCCACACTGATCTCTTGTGAACAGGTTTTCTGCTTTTAGATTTAAAAGTCGGCCCTGCCTTCTGAAGCAGACTAAAAAAGTTATTCGATTAAGCTCATCACTATATACCCATCACACGAGGCCCAGGGCCGGCCATAAACAACAAGACATGTTTCCATTCAATCATCGACCATATGTCAGAAAGAGGGGAGAAAAAAAAGCACATAATTAAAATTTCAGAGTTTGTCCATTGCTTCTAGAGCCACCAAACATCCTGAGCAAAAGAATGCCTGCTGGTATCCTATGCAGCCAGAGGACTGGGAATAGTCTCATTGTATATTGGAGAAGCAAGCCCATCTGTTTCTTGCTTAAGAAAGACCCCTGTCTTCATCCTAACCCATCTGCGGCTCTTCATTCACGTTTTGCCTCAAGCTGGGATTTCACAATTAAAGGAGTGTTTGGTGCTGTGCAGAAACAGGCGCCTCTTAGTTGTTCTCAGAAAGGTATCAGGGGGCCCCTCGACTGTACTCTGCCTACTAGCCAAGGTTTCATCTTCTCAGTCTCCTGCGAGACATGGGGTGGGGGTAGGGCGGGAGGGAGAGTGAAGTGTAACACATTTTCTAGACATCCCAAACAAAGCCGGGTGTTGGCATCATCTGGGGAACATAGGCTGTCGATGATCAGGAGAGAGGGAATGTCCTCCAAATAGCCCAGAGGCCCAGCTTCCTATTTCATTTAGAGACACCGGGCTAAGTCTAGCCTCGGCCCCATCCAGAAGATCCGCGCTACATATTTTACTTTAGGATGCAGTGGGGACTGTGGAACCTGACACGACTTGCTTTGATTAAATTCAAGGAATCCTTCCCAAGAGCCCCATGGTTACAGCAACTCCTACACATACTCAGGAAAATATAAATTTATTTCTTCAGTGTCCATGAAAGCTTCCTGTCTCGGAAAATGCACTGCTACTCCACAAAGTCTGAGAAACTAAATTAATTTCATAAAGATAACAAAACAAAGCAGAATCCCCACCATATGGCTCCTTCAACTGACAATAGTGTTACCCCAAAAGTACATACTTTCTCCGTGGGCATATTGGGTTATTTAAAAGTGTATTTTAATAATTCATGAGTGCCATTTTATTGTTTTCACTCTACCACCCGAGCTTCCTTCTTTGTTTTGAAAAATTATCTCTTTTCATTATATAAAATTATTTTAAATCAATGCTCTCTTTTGCTTAGCCACACACTTTCTGTTGGAGATATTTTTAAATTATGTCACAGTTTATTAAACTGTTTATCCTATATATTCTGCCAAAGTAAACTAGCAATCTCAGTTCAAGCCCATTAGACCTCTTTATTGCACTTTTACGTGTATCATTCACAAACACGAACGAGTTTTCAGTCCCAGACTCGTTATCAGCATTGGGGAAAATGCAGAATAAAAATTGTGTCTTGATTATATTACTTCAGTGTACAGCATACACCGACAAGGAGATAAACCAGCTCACTTTGATATTATCTCTGTCTGGAATTAACAATCGCTTTGATCTAGAGATGAATAAATTCATACAGGCATAGAATCCTATATTCACACACCGGTATCCGATTTGGAGCAAGTTACCATCTCTAGTTGGTCCATGGTCCTTTGAAAGAGGATGCAACTTTAGGGCAAGACCTAGCTGGCTCTGTCTGAGGTTACCCTGCAAGCAGCTGCACAGAGCAAACAGAGGAAGACACTGGTTCCTTAGTGGTAAATAATGCCTGCCCCTCACTCGCGAAATCTGAGCTTTTGTTGGGGAAAAAAAAAAAATCTATATACAAAAGGATCCAAACTCCCGAAAGCCAAAGCACAGCCATAATGTTGCAAAGAAATATATGAATGTGCTTAACGTCTTTCACTACTTACATCCCAAAGCAAGGGACTGCCACGCTCGGATGCCCAGACTGCAGCTTCACAGCCCAGCTGACTGCAACTCAACCCTGCCTGGCTGCCGGGCTAGCTAAGCAAACCACTTCTTACATTCAGCGTGTTTTCTCAAACACTGAGGGTGGCTCCCCACACCCCAAACAAAAGGTGTTATAAATCTGACCATCCTTCTTGGGAAAATAAATAAATGAATAAAACTAAAAGCCCCACCTGAGCCACTTTCCCAAAGCCTGAAACAATGTCCCTCGAATCCCGAAGAAATTCGCCCTAAAACCCACAGGCACAGTCATTTTATCTCTATTCCTAAGGAGCTACGTGGAAAAACAAAAACAAAACCAAAAACGTGTCCTTTACCTTGCTTGGCTCCCGAGGCTTGGTTAGAAAGCAGCTTCTTCTGGCGGAGCTGATGGGTGGTGAGTTTGGCACGCCCAGCCCAGCCCAGCCCAGCCCAGCCCCCGCACAGCCCAGCCTCGCCGTAGTAGGAGTTGCCCACCGAGCGGCGTCGAGTGTCTGTCTGTGTTGCAGCCACCGCAGCCCTGGCGTGAGTCCCCACCCAGCTTTGTCTTCAATCATAATTTCTACAGGAAGCAGTGCATCTCCCATTTCCTCCTCTCTTAGTATCGGGTAGCAAGCCAGCTTTCTTGTTTGTCTCTCACTCCACTTCAGGGCTTCTTCTAAGTGACTTTGCCTACGACTGAGGGTAATTTGGCTCTAATCCCCTGAACTCCTTTGTTCCGGCGCCCCTCCACCCCCACCTCCCTACTTGCTGTCTTCTTTCCCTGACTCATCCCCCAAGCTTCATCTCCCAGCAGCATCCACAAACTGCCTCAGTGGGTCTCGTTCTCAACACCTAAGCTGCTTTCTCATTCTGAATCGCAGCTGCTGTTTTTATTGAGTCAGTGGCCCCCATCAGCTCTGGTCCTGAGATCCGGCTCCAACCTCCACAGCTCCTTCTGATTTATGGCCTATCCGCATTCCGGGGTAGCTTGCAGCTTCTTGCTGCCGAGTTTTTCCTTTGTGGCCAACCTTCCCGAAGCTTCATTCCCTCAAGGTCTCCCTGCCACTGAGATTTTATTTAACCCATATTCTTAGACAATAATGGCCCCACAGGACTTCTGGGACATGGAAACTAAGCCAAGTCCTGCAATGCTGAGGTAGACCTATCAGTGAAAACAGGAAAGAAAAAAAAAGAAATAAGGAAAGAAAAGAAAAAGAAAAAGAAAAAAAGAAAAAAAATGAAGGGAGTGGGTGATCCCCAGTGGCCTGGATTCCCAGCCTAGAAACAGATCCGCTCTTCCACCACCCATGCACTTATTGGTAGGGCTGAGAGGGTCTTCATGGCTTCTCATCCCCTTCATTTTTGGTGTCATGGATAAAGGTAGAACTTATAGGCTGTCTGTCCATCAGAGTTAGAATCTGAGCTATCATCCCTGCCTGTGAACGTAGACAAATTACTTTTATATGTGCCTCAGTTTCTCCACTTGCAAAAAACGAGTTGATCATACCATATTTCATAGTGAAAATTCTAAGAACTAAATAAGACCAGACAGACATATGGTGCATCTCATAGTTCTAGGAACAGGAAATATTCAGTACATACGAGTGCATATTATTTATAGGAGCTTGAAACTCAGATGTGACAAGTGACTTGAACAGCCAAACCAGGACCAGTGTTTGTTCCTCTGGCTCCCCAACAGTTAGATTCACAGCTGACCCTGATGCCCATGGTAACAATATAGCCAAGGCTTGAGTTTTTCTCTCTCTTGATTAAGGAAACTAGTTTAAACACAGACAGGGAGGTAGGGCGGGAGAGATGGGGTGGAAAAGTAAGTCCTTGTTTTAAAAAGGAGGTGGTGCTTTACTAACTGGGTGTGGTAGACAAGAGAATCACTTTGAGCTCAAGGCTCTAGTGGGGTACATGGTGAGACCCTGTCTCAAATGTAAATAATTAAATAAATGAGTCCTCCCTCAGAAGCAGGGCCTAGAAAGCTACCCTTTTCAAGCTTTGGAAGTAATCTTCAACTGTATTTTTAAGGTCCTATCCTACCTTCATCCCCCAGCAAGGAAACTGACAGGAACATTAGAAATCTAGGATTGATGCAGGCTCATCAAGTGAGACTTCCTAGCACACCTTGGGGACCACAACATGTCACCAGGGCAGGTATAGAATTTAATCTCTGTGAAGTGTTTTAAGACAGTCCCAGGTTTTGATTTCAAGTTCCATAAAGTTTCTTGGAAATCTTTTTATTGTAAGGGATCCTGATGCAAGTCAAGCTAACATCTGAAAATTACAAAGGAAGTTGTTGAGGTTTATTTGTTTGTTTCCATATTAAAACCAAGAAATCACCTCTGAAGTAACAACAAATAGGAGTGCTGTAACTTCTGTCTGTCTGTCTATCTATCTATCTATCTATCTATCTATCTATCTATCATCTATCTATCTATCCATGAGAAAGGGGTTGGTACTGTTGTTTAAGCTTTTATAAGAAAATCTCTTTTGATTAATAAATCACTAGGAATTCATCCTTCCATCTCTGTTCATGAAGCTCACAGTAAGTTGAGCTGCCCAGCTCAAGGAGCGAGCAATCAAACTCCTCAAACTAAAGCACTAGCTATTAAGATTTCCTGCCTGTCATTGGCCACATGGCTTTCAGCTAGTTGTAGCACCTTCTTTTTTCATGAGACGGAAGTCCATGGTGTGTGTAGCTCAGCCAGGGAAGAGATTGATCCATTTTAGAACCCAAACACAAGCATAGGAAACCCTGACACCGGGTCTACAAAGTATTCATTTCAGAGGAACGTGGTAGCATTTTTACCTCATGTGGAATGTTTATGCCATCAATTGCTAGATGCAAGCTACCTTACATACATTTGATGATATGTTTAGGGCTGATGGGGACACAAAAGACATCATTTTAACCTGATGTCTGTCCTGCATTTTTGAGCATTCTGTCTAGAAGATTCTTTGGAATTCTAGACATAACTTTTACTAGAAACTTATTCCTCTTTCTATATTTGTATTTCTTTTTAGTGAGGCACATCAACCAACTGTACACACAGTACTAGGATGACCTCAGACCCCCTTTTCTTTGCTATTTCAAAGTAAATCAGTCTTTGATTGTTACCTCCAAGGTATCTCCTTACTCAAGATATTCCTTTCTTTTCCCCTACCGCCACCTTCTGTCCTCCCTCCTTTAGGTTTCCTGTGCAACTGCAATGTTCCCTTCTACCTCCAGCCATTCTTCTAAGTCATCCTCACCAGAATTACAGTTTCAAAATGAAGAGTTGACCTTGCCCTGTTTTCATCCCTCCCTTTCTGCCCTTCCCATGGCTTATGAGATACAGGCCTAAACCCCTCTGCACAGTACACAGTGGTGCTCCCCACAGGACGTCACCTGTCCACACTCCAGCCTTATTGCTTCTTTTAATCCCATGTCTACCTTCCCAGTGGGTGAATGGTAGAGCCTGCTTCCCACTCTCCACCTCTGTACCTTGACACCTACCATTCCGATCTCTACACACACTCTCATCCTTCCCCCCATGATAGTATTCTGGAAAGCCCTGTTTATCATTTAAGACAACCTTTCGTAGAAGTCTTCTTTGATGGCAATTTTTGTTGTCAGCTTGACTGGGTTTAAAATCACCTGGGAAAAATCTCTGGATTTGTCTGTGAAGGCATTTCCAGGGGTGCCTAACTGAGGGTGGAAGGTAAACCCAGAATGTGGGGCGCACTATTCCCTGGGATGGGAGCCCAGACTGAATTAAAAAGGAAAAGGAGGAAGGCAAGCTGAAATCCAACTCTCATGTCTTCCTGCTTCCTATAACCAGACGCTGCATACTTCCTCCACCATGCTGTCCCAACCATGACAGATGTAAGCCACCCTAAATGTGAACCACCAAAGACCCTTCCTTCTTTAAGTTGCTTTTGTCGAGTATTTTATCACAGCAGTGAGAAAAGAAAAAAAAATTCCCAGCCATGTAAGCAGAGCTAGTTCTCTCCTCCGACACGGCGTCCTGCCATGGGGCTTCAACCTTGGTTGTTTTAATGCTGATCTGCTGGTTTGGGCCCCTTGTGTTTTCTTAACTAATGTAGCAGGTAGTTCAACAGTTGTGGCAGAAATTCCCAAGCATTTGTATTTCTTTGGGTACCTTGGAAGGGGATCAGGAAGAAAGTTTGAAATGAGAACTTGGTGCAGACCCCACCCACTGAAAAACTTCAGGAAACCATGTTAGTGTACACCAAATTTGAACATTTGTTGTGGCCACATACCTGACAGAAGCAATTTAAGATGTGAGAAATTTATTTTGCCTTATGGTTAGATATAGTCCATCTTCATGGGGGAAACATGGTGCCTGAAGTGGCTGGTTGCATAGAGGCAGGAGCTTGCCAAGCAGCTTGTTTGCATTTTGGTGGGTTGCCATAATCCCATCAGCAGGGAACAAAACCTTCAACACATCAGACTTTGAGGAGACTCTTGAGATAACAGTCATAATGAGTTTATTCTGACTAGTCAATGTCTCCACAATGCTCAGTGCAATGTAGACATTAAAGTTTTGCTAAGTTGATGAAGAACCCCAGAAATAAGAGAGACAAGTTATAATACTAAGAAAATGATGAAGTCTAGTGCTGATAAGACTCATAGCTCCTAGGCTATGATGGCTCAGTGGGTAAACTATTTTCCACATAAGAACAACCACATTGAGTTCAGTCTTTGGAACCTACATAAAGGTAGAGGAAGAGAACCAACTCCCAAAAGTTGTCCTCTGATGCCCACCCAAGCACTAGGACTGGTATACACTCACGTGTACCCTGCCCCCACAAACACACACCACTATTGCTACTTTTAATAGTAACAAAAAGTGTCAAGAGGTGAAGGGTTGCTGGTGAGGACTTCTGTGTCTCTGGTGTGCAGCAATGAATCTGTGGCCATGGCATCAAGTCATGCCTTTTGATACTAGATTCTCTCTCTCATCCAAAGGAAACTGCTTTATACCCTGAGGGTTTGATTTCTCCCACTTAGTACCTGGCAAGTGGTTCATCTACACTGTGTCTTTAGGAACTGAGAGGAGAAACTTATCCTTACAAGGATAGATGTCGCCATATTTGGATCCATCAGCTGGAGTCATTCCCTGGCGCTAACAAAGACATGCTTTCGCACTATGAGCTGGTCTCTCCCTTGCATCCGTCACAGCATGTCAGTGAGCTTCCACATCTCATCTGTCCTGCGAAGGACAAGAAATTCCCCTAGGTGCTGTTGGCACATTTCAAGAAGGACAAGAAGAATTTGTCTCCTAAGGATCCACTTTAAAATAAGATCTCCAAAAAGATAACTCCAAAATGACAGCCATACAAACAAAACACAATTTAATGTGTTCTTATTTTAAGAGGGAGAAATGTAAATAGTTACTTCTATGCTTCAGCACCTTCTTCCACCTGAGACAAAATAATACAATTTTCAAATGAAAGTAGAAGAAACTGAGGAGGGAAAATAGGCAACACATAACAGCTAATAACAAGGGGCTCAGAGACAAAACTGAGTTCACCAAATAGTATGATTTCATTCTTTTTTGTTTTTGTTTTGTTCTGCTTTTTGTTTGGTTGGTTGGGTTTTTTTTGTTTTTGTTTTTGTTTT